TCCCCAAATTTCCCTCATTTCTTGATCTAACCCTTTCATATAATATTCTTACGGAGATCGGGAAAGGAGGGAAATTTGGAGAATTTTTAATTTTTTTTTAAATAAGTCACGTGACTAATATGTGATAGTTAACGCCGGAGCTTTGGCATGACCACCTCGCAAGCTCACCCAAGTACCCCATATAAAAAAAAAAAAAAAATACATCTTAAAAGGCCTTTTTTCACAAATTTTTACTTAAAAGATCATTTTTTAAATAAAAACATTTTATCAAGTATATTTTGTTTCATGAAATCAATATACGTGAAAATAGACAATTATTTTCCCGTTTTAGCTTTCTTCCCAACGTCTTACATTAATGGACTTTAAAAATGACTACCGGCAAAATTAAATGGTTAGCAATCTTACAAATCGATGCAATCAAAGGATTTTTACTTAAACACATCAAAATTACGCAAATAATTATGACAAACATATAAATGCCGGACTAATAGTTCCAAAAAAGCAAATTGAAAATTCGTAGAAACTTCCCAAATAGCAAATTCAAACCTAAAATCAAACCTTTACATGTTCAAAGTTGAAATCTAAAGAAAAGCTAATTCACTCCAAAATACTTCTTTTGAGCAGCAGATAAAATCTGACTACTTTCATAAGGCTTGATACGACTCAAGTACATATTTGGTAAATCTCTGGCTATCTCCTTGATACCTTTGGTTTTAGGGTGTGTTCTGAAGTCATACACTTTCATATCTTGCTCTTCACAATCAGCCAAGCAAGACACACCAACAGCGTCTGCCTCCTCCTCAAACGCCTCAGTATTCTTTACGTCGATAAACCATTCTTGATTGAGGCAATTCTCCACAACTTTCAGAATAGCCGGAGTGTCCCCTAGAGTTTGATCAAATCTAAAATCAAATTTTCTAGTAACATCATCTTTAGTAAAGTCGAGCCAAAATTGGTCATGGAAAAAATAACCAAGCTTAATCTGTAGGTTTCGAAATCCTATTGACCAAGCAATACCAAGGACTTTAGCAAAGGCGGCGTACAAGGGAATCGAGGGGTCTTGATTCTTAACATCATTGTTGTACATGTTTACGGAAATACCAATTAACCATTCCCCATTATTGTTACATATCAGTCCCCCAACATGTGCGCTCAGATCCGAAGAAACATGAGCACCTATAGTAAATTTGTGATAATCCTGCACCACAATTCAAGTACTAGACATCAATCCAAAATTCATTAACTATATATACTTCCTTCGTTTCATTACTATCGCAATACAACATGACAACATATACTATATAGGATGCAATAGAAAAAAGATAAATTATAACGGACGTGTTTTTATACAGATAGATGATTAGAAAAATAAGAAACACATACAGAGTACCATATAATAATAACAACTAGCAATCGTGTGACATCTAATCTAACATAATACGACGTATAAGAATTTAAAATAAGGAAAATTGATCATATTGTAATAAAGTAGTAAATTACTCGTAGTAAGCATACCATTGTAGTACTTTGAAGGAGTTTCTTCCTGTTTTTTCTCTCTAATTTCCACTTATCATCTCTATCAGTCGCGTGACAGTGTCTTTGCGGATTCTTGTTCCACATTTTGCAAGGTGCAATCTCCTCACAAACATAACAGTAGCACTACATACATCGGTAACAAAAAAATAATAAACCACGGAGTGTACTCCAAACCATGTCCGTCTAGAATTAATAGTCACGTTAATAAAAAAAATAATCAAACTGAAGGGGGGGGGGCAAATAAGGCAACCTAGGCAAATAGAAAAGAAAAAAAAAATAAATTAATCATTTGTTGTAATTAAGTACCTTAGTACAATGACTCTTAGGAGATGATTTTCCAAAAGGGTATGTAAAGCAGAGGTGTCTTGGATGAGGGACGTCATCCTCTGGTTTGAGACTTATGGAAAGACGACTGTAAGCCTCGGTGATCACTTGCCCTTCATCATCTACGATACGAGCATCGGTTCGATGAATGGTTTTCTCAACATTATTACAGTTTTCCTTAAGTTGTTTTTGGCCTACTCCTGGTTTCATTGTGATTTTATTACAAGTTTGTATGTTAGATTACGTTTTCAATTTCTCATGGTAGTTTATGTGTATATTTATAGTTGAGTGAAACGGTAAGAGTTGTGAAGAATATTAAGAGACAATATAGAACAAGTAATAAATGTAAAATTTATTAGAAAGTTGAAGGCCTTGAAGCTAGCTTACAAAGAGGAAAAGACCATTTCTATTCTCAAGTAAAGATATTATTAGAGAGAAATAAAGAGACTTTGAGATTGAAGCTTCTCATTTTTTGAGATTGAAGCTTCTCATAATTATGAACATTTGTAAACAAAAAAAAAAAGTCAATAATGAACATTATTTTGATTCGTTTTATTGTTAATTAGGTAATCCACTAATACCTAAGCCATGCATATGAAACGGATTATATGCATTTATATAATTTGTATTTAAGAAATTTCCAAGACATCAATCAATTAATGTATGTTTTCATTTGAAATTACAATTACTATGGAGTACATAAAAATATTGTACGGAGTACTTTGTATTAACTCATACCTATCTATGTATAATATTATTAAAACCCATGTAGTACATGATATTACGACACGTGGCATTCTTATGTCAGCATGACATGACGCACATTAAGCTATCTTATAAAAATCTAACACGTTACATGGAGGTTAACAATACTTAAGCTACCTGGAAAACTTTTCATATGTGTAACTAGCCTTCTATCCCGTGCAATGCACGGATTGTTTATAGGTATATAATATAATTTTTGATTTTATAATATGTTTTTTATTAGAAAATGAATAGTTTATAAAAGATAAAAAGGGGTGAAAATCGAATGTAATTGTTGTTGATATTAAGTTGGGGGAAAGTGAACCAAACATTCATTCATGTATTGAATTAAAGCTAGTGTTTTTTTTTTTTTTTTTTTTAAATACGAGAAAGGTTAAATGAGATGACATGTGACATTGGTGAAAAATATAATTTACATGTGGCATGATGAGGATGATGGTTTGTGTTTTTAAATATTAAGTATAGATATAGATATAGATATGTTTAATTTAATGGAAAACTCTTCATATTAACCTCTCTATATAATTTTTTTTTTCCTTATCCCTTAGTAATTTCACAATAATAAAATCTAATTAGTAAGTAATTAATTGCACTAATGGTGATTCATTGGATACTTATATCTAGATTGAATAAGCATTATATAATTTTACACATTAAAATTTCATCACATATTAAATCTACCTATTATTAATGTTATTCTTTTGTTTCTCTAACTCATGCGTCTATTAAAAGAAATTATATGACTAAAGTTTTAATTTTGATATATTTTTTTTCTCTATCTTTTGTATATGGCTTGGGTTTTCAGTATGTGCCTATAATATACGAAGTACAATTCTCATTCATAATATACAAGTAATACAATTTCGATTATTATTCTTATGAGTTAGGGCATGTACTGAATAGAACTGTTTATGACAGAAAGAATTAGGAACTAAACTAAAATTAAGCTGAAGTGAACAAATCCTAAGTGCTTATAATGTACATTTTTCATTTATAATATGAAAATCGTAAAAAGTTTCAATTATTCTTATCTCTTACATTGAAGATAATATTTTTAGAAGGTAGTGTGACACATTTCACGTTTAATTGGTCCAGATCCGAGGCATCGTTTGGGACAATAATTAGTTGTCTAACCAAAAAGTGAAGAGTAATTAGAAAGAGGGAGGGAAGATTACCATATTTATTCAACTAGATAATCATTGAGAAAAATGCGAAAGGTAATCTCCACAATTAACCAAAAGAGCACCTTAGATCATATCTACTCCAATGTATAAATGTGAGCAACTAAGGCCTAAGGATTCGGATTGGCTATTGCATTTTTCGTTTGCGTCAACATAAAAAATTCTTCCAATTTATAAAGGAAAATTTGATTCTAATAATCTAACCTTTGCACTGTCTTATTTTATTAATCCGACCTTTTAATTATTTCATAATAATTCAAGCTTTAGGAGGTGTTCTATTCTATTAGGTCAAGCAGGTTACTTAACCTACAACAATTGGTCACTTGCCGTGTGTCGCTACTTCATTTGTCCAAAAATATTTTAATTTAAAATTAAAAAAAAAAAACTTTTTTTTCCTTTTTTTTCATTTCCTCTTCGTCTTCTTCCTCCCTATCCATACCTAAGCTCCATAAATGACTTCGATTTTCTCCGGTCATCCGCCCACCATCCCTCCACCTCCAGCAGCAGGGAATTCTACCCAACCAGGCACCACCTCCGCCTCCTTCAAAACACGACATCATGGAATTCCACACCTCCACATTCGTTGAAACCCAACCCTGGGATAGGATGGGTTACACCCTGGGATGGGATGGGTTACGGTGGTGACTGGTTAAGGGGTAGGGTGGTTGTGGCTAGGGAGAAGGGCAGCAAAGAGGTGGTTGTGGGAGGGCGGCAAGGAGGTGACTGGGAAGTGGGTTGGCCAGAACGGTGGAAAAAGAGGGGAAGGAGGAGAGGTTGGCCGGAATCATGGGGAAGGCTGCTATTCATTTTTTTTAAGTTATAAAAAAAACTAAAAATGAAAAAAATAAAATTACCTGAATAACAAGTTGCAGGTCACCTTGGCCTAATAGAATAGAACACCCCCCAAAACTTAGATTATTGTGCAATAATCAAAATGTCGGATTAATAAAATAGGACCACGCAAAGTTTGGATTATTGAAATCAAATTTTCCATTTATAAATGGGATTGACTATTGCATTATTTGTTTGTGTCAAATGTCAATATAAACTTTTAAGGGGTTGCCTTTTAACTTTGGTTAAGAGCCTATTCACATTTACTTAATTTCAATTCAGCTCAGCTCCAATCACTTCAGTTCAATTCAGCTCAGCTCCTAATTTCCCTCTCTCATAAAATATTCATTTCAGTTTAGTTTAGTTCAGCTCCAACCAATTTAGTTGCTTTAACAAATACTAGTATTTCATAAATTAAAAGAAAAGAAAATTTTATTAAAAAAAAAAAATAATACTTAATCTTAATCTTAAAGGAATAAAACGACGTCGCACATACAAACATAGAAAAAGTCCCAAAATCATTTTTTTGGTTCATAGCAAAGCAGAAAAAAACTCACAAGTCACCATTGAAGATTCTTCATTTGTAAGAAGCTTCAGTTCATTGTATTCCTCCGCCATTAAATTGTTGAATTAGGTTTATCCGTTGTTTCGTCAGACTTTTCACACTAAAGTAGCTCCTTTTTGCAATTCAAAGTATGTTCACTCAAATCAATTTTTTTTAACCCTCTTTTTGTTTTTCTTCAAATCAATAATCCTGTTTATAATCAATAAAAAGCTTAATTTCTGTACTTTTAGTTCTTATTTATTGATTGGATTTTCTGGGTTTTTTTTTCAGGGAGCAAGAAAGGGGATTTATGCCACGATACAAAGATGAACCTCCTGCTGTTCGTGTATATACCGTCTGTGATGAATCAAAGTTTGTTTTTTTTAGCTAATTAATTAATTTTGCAATTTAATTTTGAAATTTGAAGAATTTTTCCTCTTATTTTGATATCTATTAATGTTGGAATTACCCAATTGCTAAAGGTACTTGATTGTGAGGAATGTACCAGCACTGGGGTGTGGTGATGAACTTAAACAACTTTTTGCAACATATGGAGAAGTTGAAGAGTATGTTTCCTTTTATTTTTATCATAATAGTGTTTTTTTAAAAAAATTGTTGACATTGTGAGTTTGGTTAGTTTCCTTGTTACTAATTTTCAATGTGAAACGTGATTAATTAGCTTGTAATGAATAGTAGTGGACTAATGGTTGTGCAATTGAAATGTATGGCACTTGAATTCTATGAAACTTTGACAATGCCTACTTTATCGGGGCTTGACTCCGGCTGTGATTATCCATAAGAAATGACTTAAGTTTTACGCTGGCTGCCACAGACCTACCGCAACTCTCCTCCTTTATCCGGGCTTGAGACCGGCAGTGAATGCCATGAAGTGACACTCACCGGCAGTGCATACCACAAAGTGGCACTCACAGGTGGAGTTTTGGGGATTAAGGCTTTGTTGTTGTTGAAGTGTGTGAATTGTATCTCCAAGGGTCAAACATTTAAATATGGGTGTTTTGGATTTGAAAGAAAAGTTGATGTCAAATGATAGCATAGTTGGCTCCTATGGTTTTTTAAGTTCATGAGATTAGTGGAATAGGCCCGTACTTGCTTTTGTTATTGATCATTGAAGTAATTACTTGGTGAGATTAGAGAGTAGAATTCTAGGAAGGCTTACAGCTACGTTCATTATATATAAGGGATAATTATAGAATATTACTCGTAGTATTTTACCTGCTTAAGTATGTTATTGAAAGAGCCTTTTTTAGGTATTAAGAGTTCTTTGGGTGACTTTGAACTTATACCATTTGTGTTTGGGTCTTAGAAAAGCCTACTTTGAAGGGTTTTACTGATGCCTTTCCGTCATTGAAGTTACCAGCTCCATTTCTACATAAGAAATAGAAAGAGGATGAAGCAACATGCTTGGCTATAAAACATTGACTTCCACAAGGACTAGCTTTGGTGCCTTGGTGGAAGTTGAAATATACGTGAAATTAGCACAACACCCCCCCCCCCCGGATAAATATTCAGCTGCTTTGTCGTTGCTGTTCTTCTTTTGACTAGAACTTTGTCTAGTATGTCAATACAATGGGGTTTGAAGGGTTTTCTGCGTGCACCTAGATATTACTGTAGCTCTAGTATCTGTCACTCGTATCGTTTATGACCAACAACCAGTATACAACTTGGAACTTGATTGGATCTTTTATGTATGGATTTCAGATGCTATTTTGGTATGTAGTGTCCAGTGTCCTTATAGCCAACCTTGTTAAGCGGAAAGATTTGGCCTAGTTGTTTGGTAAGTTATTAGCCAATTACCTAAATTCTAAATATATGCAATGCAGTTGTAAACCTATGGATGCGGAAGAGTGTGAGGCATTTACCGATGTCTACTGGATCAAATTTCACATGATCAGCAATGCCAGGTAATTAAGTTGGCTTTTTTTTTGTGTTCCAAGCTTTAAAATAGCAATTTGGGTGGGCAAAATTTGCGACTATTTGATTGAATTAAGGGAATATCGAATATTAAACTTTGTGCATGAAGATACTAAATTGTTCACAATATAATATTCTATACTCCGTACCATAATTGATGAAGAAATGAAGTTAGTAATCACGGTTGCTTGTTACATTGTTTAGGTTTGCAAAAAGAAAGCTAGATGAGTCTGTTTTCCTTGGAAATCGGCTGCAGGTGTCATATGCTACTGAGTACGAGACTCTGTCTGACACAAAAGAGAAGTTGGAAGGCAGGAGAAAGGAGGTTCTGGGACGATTGAAGTGTAAGTAATCACTTATCTTAGAATTAACTTAATAAGTCCCAAAGTATTTTGAGGTTTTTTTTCTTTTATTTTCATTTCATGTTTATCTATTAAATTTGAAATCTATATTATTTGGTGTAATTCCAGCAGGAAGATCTAGAGGTCATGAAATGCAAAGTATAGGTGTTAGTAATCCTCCCTTGTTACACGGATCTCCCTCACAAGTATCTCAACAATTAGACATAAAGCAAGGATGGTATGCTATTTTACTTAGTTATGTATTCCATTGAGCAATTTCGAGAGGTCATTGGAGTTTATTTCAATCTAATTTCATGTAGTTACCCCAAAGAAATGGATCAACTTTCTAAGGTAGATCCTTCGTTAATCACCAGGGTGTCCTCTGATCAGGTAATTTATCTACACTAACAATATTCTTTTTATGTTATGAACATATGAGAATAAATTGAAGCTAGACTAGTGATATTCATTTCCACTTCTTGTACCTTTTGCTCTAGTGTTTGCATTGTACGGTTGTACCCTTGTGCTGATTTGGCAAAATATTTGAAGTGATGAACTGCTTTCATTTTGTTACTAATAATCTTCTTTGACTCCAACACCCCCTTCTAAATAAAACCTGGGATCTAATGGATTTTACCTTCGTTTTTTTTCTTCGCGTCACCTTCCTCACATTATTACTTGTATTTCTTTGTGACTACTTCATTTGTTCATTTATTGTAGTATTAGAAATTATTGAGATGATATTTTTCTTGATTAATAAATGTATAACCTTGGATGTATATTTTGTATCGCTGTCAGGATTATTTCCCATTGCAGTCAATGAATGAAACAGTTAGAAGGGTGAGAGAGAAGCTCGATAAGGTGAGAGTATTCTGCAACTCTAATTTGTCTTGCTAAATTTTCCCCAAGAGCTGGTTGTCTAATCTTCCTATGCCCTTGTTTCAGATAGAATCAACTTCTTCAAATATGCAATCTGGCCAGGCTTCAAAGAAAATGCGAGTAGATAATAGAAGGAGGATATGACTGCCCTCTTTTTCTGTCTTATGCAGTTTGTCGATTGGTCGAGTCTCCTGTAAATTAGACAGTCCTCTGATATTCTGAAGCGCTGGTTTTTTACTGAGTAATGACTTGGTGGATGTTAGGCTGTGTAAATTTTGATTTATACATGTAATGACATTTTTTAATGAGAAATTTCGTAGTTCATCTATATTTTTGAATCCTGGTTTATTGGTTGATAAAATTTAGTACCAACGCCCAAGGAGTACCGAGTTTTATCTACTTTGTATCTGGCAAAACACATTTTCTCATTACTCTGCCTTTGGCATCTCGTGTAAGTTCATCTCATAATATTTTAGGTGTACCTATTATTCCTAGGTACATCATGGTGCATGCAAGTAATTTATTTCACCTTGATGAAAGCATGTTTAATGAAAATTAGCTATTACATAAGGAGAATATAAATGATGAATTTCTTTAAAAAAAATTTTGCTCGAGTCTAGTACTACGCTTACTTTCAAACGGCTTTTCATCTTAAAACTTCAACTGATGCTGTATCTATTGCCAAGAGTTGATTAAAACGTCTTAACTTCATATCAATGGAGAAAACAGTGTATCAGGCTTCATAATTTTGCATGAGATGAAGCTTCAAGTTGATGAAAGCTTGACAGGCATGTTTTCATTACATTAAAATACTTGTAGCTAGACTATAACATGATAAGCTTTAAGAAAAGTAATTTTATATATCAGCTAAATTTGGTAGCTTTTTATGGCTTAATTGAAAAATACTCTCTTAGCTAAGCATTTGTTTTTCCAGTCAAGTCCATGAGCAAACTTTGGGCTAAACTTTAGAAAACAGAATCATGAACAAAATATGAATGTAAACAGCTGCAAAATCAATATGCAAAATAATCACCTGTTTCTGTTGCTGTCTCAAGTAACAATACAAGAAAGATTGTTTCCAAATATGTAGATTAAAATCTCCAAAAAATCAACTAAACACTGAGATTGAATCAGGTCCTTGAGGCAGTATTTTACCTGTTTGTGTTGTATAATGCCTATGCAATAGCATGCATAATAAATTGCTTAAGTTTGTCATTTGGTGTATGGTTAAACCTACAAAAGTTCTCAGATTGTTAAGCTGCTAACTACAGGAAAGGTGCTCTTCTTTTCATTGACATTCTGACATAATCGAGGATGCGGTAGTAATGATAGAAGAGAGAGGAGTGTTCTCCCTGGAGCCCATCTCTGGTCCTCCGGTTGCCACCAGCCAAGTTGTTGCACGGGCTTCCACCTATCACCAGATCAAATCCATTGAGCTCTTCAATCCACTGATCCATCATTTTATTATCAATTGTTTGAACATCATCAACATGGATCAGTCTACCCTCTTGCTCTGTCTCTGACCACCACTGCCTGAGTATGTCCTGGCTCACATTGGAAATCTCCACTGACACGACATTCTTCAACGGGATCCCAAGTCTGTAGAGGGCAATTTCTGCTCCACCAATGCCAGAGAAGAGCGAAAGAACATTCATGCCACCTGGATACATGGGCTTCAGAACTGAGAGTTGGTAGGCAACAGTGTCGATCTGAAACAAATACTCAAAACTTTACAAGAGTAATACAAGTATTATCCAGAGCATATACAAAAAAGATGACATCTGATAAAAATTTGCTGACCTGAAAGGAGTTACCCAGGGTTTTGTATCTGTCAGTCCGGCTAACACCTCTAGTGTAAAATCTTGGGAATCCAAGCAACATCTCCATGTCTTCAGGTTCAAGGACTGCCACTCTGTTCTTTCCAACCCACACCAAGTTCCATTTCTTGCATTGCTCGATAACAAACCTTTTATCAGTTTCAGAAGGTTCGCCTGATTCAACCCTCTTCCTAATTCTCTCAGTCAATTGAGCACTTCCAATGCAAGTTAAAAGACAATTCAGCTTTGTTCTCTTATCCCATGAAGGCCACCACTTCTTTGTTTCAGGTATTGCTTCATGAATTGTCTTTGGTGGAATAGGAAGTAAAGGCTGTCGGTTTATGATGGGGAGGTTATGAATGTACCCTCTTTTCCTTGCAGCTGCAGAAAAGTGTATGGAGTCCACAAACTCAGGCTCGATGTCGTACAGGAACCGGGAGATTTGATCCCAAACCCCCTTGGGAGTACAAGCCACATTCTCATAAAAAAAATACGGGGGGCCTAAAGCCTCATCAGGTAGTGTCCTACTGGTTCTGACAGCAGGGCACCCTGGAAGCCCAAACCCAATCATCTGTTTGAAACTTCTTTCTTCCATCATTCTTTCTGGTACTGGTTGCTTTTTAGGCCTCTGGATGACCTGAACAGATTTTCTTTTTCTATCCATCTGAGGTTTCTCAACTTGTCGACTACGGTCAGGGAATTCTGTTGCATCAGCAACTTTCGCCATTTCAGCAGCACAGATAAAATCGGCCAATTCTTCTATGGATGCATCGTAACCTGAATAGAAAGTAGCTCTAATTAATGACATAATGATGTACATGTTAAAAACTTCATCCTTCTCTCTTTGATTGATGCACTTTCTCTAGAGTCATCCCTATTTAATTTACGAATTCTTTTCATCCATAATTCTCTTACTTCACTTCACTTCATTTTGATGGTTATTGCTCAATTAGGTAACAAATGAGCAAAAAATAACCTTGGGTGCACAAGTGCATATAAAAATTTTCACCATTGGACCAATCCACTAGCAATAATAGTTAAGTTACATAACTACTCAGTACTCACTAACTATAATTAGATAAATATTCCACTACTCTTTTTCTTTCCATTTACTATAGAAACACATACCAAGGAAAATAAATAGAGTAGTGTAATTAGGTACATATGATTACTTATTAATTTATTATACTACGTAAAAAAGATGAAGTGTAATAAGAAAAGTGACCAAAAAGTGGTGCTAGTAATTTATTTATTTATTTATTTATTTTTTTGGCAAAATTGGAAATTAAGTAAAAGTAGGAAGAACTTTATGAAACAATCCTAAATAGAAAGTGAGAAGAACTTCATATTGCGAAGGGATTATTACCATAATAAAATTATATGTAAAAGGTTAATTTTTTAAGTTCGATTAAATCTGCTTAAAATGTCAAAGAATGTCTACCAAATAGAGACAAAAGGAATTAAAAACATAAAATAAATAAATAACTAGTTTACATGTAATCTTAACTTGTGATGATCCAATAAAAAAAAATAATAAGCAAAAATAAGATATATTCCAAAAACCAATCTCAAACAAGACATCAAAATTATACTATAATTCACTAACCACATCTCTCTATAGAAATCAGAACATCCTCAAGGTCGTAACCCATATCAACCATTATTGATATGGTTTTGTCTTTGTAATCAGCATCTCTTCTTTTTTCCTACAAGACAAAACCAATTATCAGACTTTCAAATCTTTAAATCAAAAGGCACGACATTAATAGCTTTACTTATTAAAACTAGGGCTTGGAAGAAAAGAATAACCAGAGAAACTTGTGGAGAATATCCTTTGGTTGATTGGACCTAGGGGAAAGGAAACCTTTCTTTGGTCTGAACACTGAATGAAGTTATTGCACACATTCATAATGCTAAACTATTACAAATTAGCAAATTGAAGAAACCAGATTCAAGTTCACAAAACTATTACTAAAGACATCTATGACTCTCATATAGTTTCCACCAAACATGCAAAGAAAATTTGGTTGAAAAAGTTATTTAATGGCGGTGCTCAAATGGAACAAGGCCGAGTTCTTAATCTCAACGAGCAAACAATTTGAGTGCCCCATTATACCTTATGCATGAATCAAGCAAGACAGTGGCAGTAGCCATCTTGATAGTAGCAAGATGAATTCCTATTAGGCCAGAAGGGAAGCCTATGCCTAAGAGAATGGGCCACCATCAATTTAAAAGCATTGAAAAAAAGAGCTAACAAAGATACTATGAGCAACAATCTTAAACATAACAACTAAATTGCAGGAGTCAAATAGCATAAAACAATTATATGGATTCCAGATTTCCAGACAACTGTGTAGCTATATACCTCTGCCTCTCCACAAGAACTATCACAGTCCGAAAAGTCATCTAAAAAGTCCTCATTTATATGAGTGGGTGACTTTGGCTTGGAAGAACCATTATCTTCTCCAAGAGAGTCTTCAAGAACCTGCATTTAAAAATCCCATAACCAAGTCAATGGCTATTCATTGACTATGAACCCTGTTATCATGATTCAGGTATATAGCATTATACTGACAAACTAATTGAGCCTCTAGACATAATAAACAGGCACTGTCAAACATGAAAAACAACTTTTAGGCAAAATAGCACCTGTGGTTCCAATTTCAGAATTGTTGTCAATTACCACAAATGCCATTAATATCAAACTCTATGATCAATGGATTTGAACTTACCGGGTATGTCAATAAACTGTTGAGTATTGCTTCATCATTGTCCTCACCTTGAAGGTAATGTAATATAGCATATTAAGCTTCAGTCAAACCATGCAATACAAGGATGGAGGATTCATCTCATCCAGGAAAAAAAAAAAAAAAAAAAAAAAACTAAAATAACATACTAAAGGGGCCAAAGGAAAGTAGTATTAAAATGAGCAAGCATCATATCACCATTTTCCTTGATTGCTCGGATCACCAATTTCTCCTCAAAGCCCATCGAAACAAAATGGTCAACTTTCTTGGAGTTATAATTGGAAGAACCAGATGATGAGGCATTGTCTACGCAGTCAACAGGAGAATCCTGCTCATAAGCTATGTCCTTTATATTTCATCGTAGGACAAGAAACACATTAGTAAGCACCAGTTTTACAAACCAAATCCATTAGAATTGTGTTCTTTAACAAATATATTGCTATTGTGCTTTACTGCTTCTTACTTACTTAGATTATTATGTAAACAATTCGACTAAGATAAAATATGAGCCCATCATGTCTAGCTTAAAATGCAACAAAAGTTACCAATAAAGGTTCCAAGTAAACTACTTACTTTATCATCAAGTGTGGCCTGCAAAAACTGCAATTCAAGCTCATCATCGGTATCCAAATCAGCTTCATAGTTTATTGGACTGTATATATCGGGATCCTAGGGATAACATATTGAGAAAAGAACACGTGATTAACTACGGAATTTCCATGTTCTAATGTTAGACATATCCTTCTTGGTCTGTTTAAAATATAAACATGAATTTGAAACATAAAGCACTGAAGAAATTTGTGTGGACAAATCATAGCACAATAAAAAGTTTGAGCAATAGAAACTATCAATCTCAATAGTATAAAAGTAAAAGAGCACAAAAGAAAAATAAGGATTCAGAAAAACATTGAGCAATAGAAACTATCAATCTCAATCAGTAGAGTAAATCAACCTTTTTCTAGAATATAATTGTCTAAGCAATGTATTTAGTTTGGGTAAAATTGATGATCAGCAAATAGTAAAGTCGCAACACATTTAAGTCGATCTTCTTTTATCCCAAGTATTGCCAAATACTAAGAACCAGATGCATGAGTGCACGATTATAAGAACAATTGTTAAAGTTCATAATCCATTGTCACGAAATTGGAGCTTGAGGATGCATACAAAGTTACAAACATATTAATTAAGAACATGCAAAATTATCATGGAACAAAGTCTCAAAAAACTCATCAGCAAGAAAACCCAACAATCATATAAGCAAATAGAAGTTTTAAGGAGGAGTACGCACAGCTATCATAAGTTGTTTCCCTTTGTCCGACTTATCGTACATATTCTGAGGCTCCATATCAACTGTAAGTCCAAACATAAGAAAATTTCAGTAAAAAAAGGTATACAAAGAATTAAGTTAAGAGCACTCATTATACTCATTTGAAAAACAAAATGAAGCTCAAAACATAGCCTATCAACATAAGTACATAACAATACAATATCTATTACTATATACTTCTATAGCTCAATCAGAGCAAGTTTGGTAATTCCAATGAAATCAAAAGCTTAATTTAACTAGCAACTAATTAATTCGCCAATACTATTTACTACCTCCGTTCCATAAAGTTCAAATTTAAACCTACTTACTATATGGATTTCACAAAGTATCCTGTATACTACATAAAAATTTCACATTTGAATCTTAGTTAAATCTAGACACAGCACAAGTAACAAACATTATTTCCTGCATAATATGAAGATGCAAAATTGCACAAAAGAATTACAATCAAATCCAATTTTTTTTTTTTTTTTAAAGCTGTATTTTAAGGTACGAAATTGAAGCACATTTCCCCAAAAATCAAACAAAATTACACCAAAATAGAGCTAAAGGACAAGGGTTTACCGGTTTATGCAGCATTACTCCAACACCGAAATACAACTGAGGGTTTCAAGAAACAGGGCAAAATTTTTTAAAAAAATACAGAATTTCACTTTTTTTTTCGCCCTTTTTTTGACAAACATTTCGTAAAAACAACCCAAAAAATCATACAAATATATCATGATCATTGACGTTTCAGAAATGCGAGAAAATTAACCAAAACAAAAATTTTACTTCAACCCCTTAAACCCAACACACAGAAAAGGTGGGTTCAAAAAAAATCTCATAATTCAACCCAAAAATCACCAAAGAGTTCTTAAAAAAAAAAAAAAAAATACGAGGACATAAATTTCAAACCAAAAAAAAAACCATATTAGGATTTTTTATTTTTACCAATCAATAAAATTAATATTTCAACAAATTAAACCCATTATATAAGAATAATCGAACTACACGGTAGTTATCAGAGTTGGGGTTTCAGAAATTTCAGAAAAAAAAAAATAAAATAAAAAAAAACGTAGGATTTTATGGTGTAAAGGTGAAATGAAAAAAGCGCAAATTCATAGAAAAAAAGCAAATACCTGAACTTTGTTGATGGGTTTGAATATGGTGATGGAAATTCTGAAAGAGAAACGGCAAATGCAGAGAAAAAGTGGGCAGGAAAAAACGTCAGAAATTAGAGAGAGAAAGCAGAGAAATGTGAGCAAAATACACAGCAGAGTGTAAGCACCAAAAAGAGTAGAGAAGAAGAGGAGAAAAGGTAGTCAAGGTACACTGTTTCTGATACGCCAATATGGCCAATAATAACAACAATATAGAAGGGGAAGGAGGGAAAGATCAAAAATATGGACATGAGTTAGACTGTAGAGGGGCATTTTGGTCATTTTGCAAAATTGAGTTTTGCAAACTCTTGTTTTTGAGGGATAGTATGGTCAATTCATATTACCTTAAATAGAAATTTCTGGATTTACCCTTACTTATGTCTAGAATGATCTAATAGTTTTAAAATGAATAATAAATGGAGTTAAATACTCCATCCGTCCCCTTTTGATAGTCCCTTATGAGCATTTTTACGTGAATTAATAAAGACAAATAAGAATAGTTAAAGTATATTGAAAAAGTAAATTGATATTTGGTATGCAAAAAAGTAGAGAGAGAAAGTAATAAAATTACATGGAAAAACAAAATTAACATAGGAAAGTTAAATTTGCACAAATATTGTTGCAAATTTGAGGAATTTTGGTAAAAATTTAATATTAAAGGTTGTTGGAAAAAACAAATGGGGTGTACATTTTGGGACTAAAATTTGTCCATAAGGAACTATCAAAATGGGACGGATGGAGTATTATGTAAGTGGGATTTGTTTAGAAAATTAAAAGGCATACTCTCCATTAGGAAAAAAAATGAAGTAACACAAGTATTTCGTATTATCTTAGTCTTCTGTTGTATGCTTTTTTACGGTTTTCACGCATATGTTTTTAGCCGTTCATATAAAATTTAAATGAATCTCATGTGATAGTGTTTATATAGACTACAAAGTAAGTTGAATTATTTCTTCATTTTGTAGATTTGAGAGATAAGTGGATAGGATTTTAATTTCTCTATTGCGCAAAAGTGTCTTTTCACAATATCTTGTGGAAAGTAAGGGATAACTCAAGTGGTTAGAGCTCCCCTCTCGATTTCAAATGATCTTGGGATCGATTCTCATCACTCTCACCCTTGTGGCTCTCTAAACAACAACAACAAAACAAAAAAAAAAAAACAATATCTTGTGTACTTTATTTTATCGTTTTTATAATATTTCAAATGAAATTCATGTGAATGTACTTGTATATATTGCGTGATTATGTTAATTTTTTCAATTATAAATATGACATTATAAGATGGGTAATTGGGTATGATTCTATTATATTGGACAACATGAGCTGAGGTGTTAAGTATAACCGCCATTGAGATTGTGGTGGATTTTTTTAGAGTGCAATAAATCATTGTTACCTCTTACCTTCATTGAACTTGATAAATAATTAAATACTCCGTAGTTTCTTTCTCCGTTTTATTTTATTTACAATGCACTTTCAACACACACTTTGAAGAATTAAATAATTAGGTAAATTAAACAAACAAATTGAATTAAAATATTTTATACATGTAATATCTAACCTTTCTCTATCATATTCTTATCTAACCCTTCTCTATTCTTGGTGTTAAAGTGAGTTAAGAGTACAATTAGGTACTTAATTCTTCCTTTTTTCACCTTTTAGGTACTCAATTTTTTTTGCTTTGCTTTTGGGTACTCAAAGTGATTTTCAGGTGAACTAACTCACCACTAACTCATCACTAACCATACCTAATTAAAAAATTAATATTTAAAAAAAATTCTTAACTTTGACTCATAAACTAGCCGTTATTACTCTATTTAAAGGGGCATGAACTTGGCCAAAAAATGCCATGAAAACACCTGCAAAACACTAGCAGCACACCATGTTTTCTTAACAAAATTCATCCAAAACGATTTTCCCTGATTCAATTTCAATAAAAAAAAATAAATAAAAAATAAAACCCAAAAACAGCAACGCAGAAGCTGTAGCAGTACACCAACAACAAATATCATCAAAACAGGTTCATTCACCATGTCTATTTAGGCACAAATTCTTCAACAAGGTTATCGCAGATTTTTTAGAAATAAAAAAAATTAAAAAAAAAAACAGAAACAGAAGCTGCTGCTAGGTTCTTCCCCAGCTGCTGCTAGCTTAATCCAACAACAAACAACAACAAAGCAACAAATTTAACACAAAAAACACAAGAAATCGACATCATCAATTTGTTCAAAAAAAACCCCAAAAAATCGAAAACCCTAGGTCACAAATAACATCAAGAAATGGGCAAAAAATTCAAAATTTTTATCAAAATATCAACATAATCCATGAGTAATTGAGCTTACCTCAAAAAAATGGCGGCTTTTGGTGTCGTTTTCCCCAGAATCGAGCCTAAGCTTGCTCGTGTTCTTCGACAATGACGCAGCAGAATTTCCAGAGAAGGAAAGAATAAAGGGAGCAAAAAGGGGAATAAAGAATAAGAAAGGAAAAAAAATTAAGGGTGACCCGCGAATTTTTTTAATCGGGTGGGGCCCACTTTCTCTTAACCAAAGTATTGAATTCTTTAACCAAAGGTACTGAATTCTTAGGCTGATTTATTTTTTTTGGCCGGAATTCTTAACTCAGTACCCAAAAGCAAAGTAAAAAAAAAATTAAGTACCTAAACGGTGAAAAAAGGAAGAATTGAGTACCTGAATTTGTGCTTAACTCTGTTAAAGTTATTTTGATAAAATCGTCAGTTTACCTAATCTAATCAACTCCTAAAAAAGCGCGTCTAAAGAATGTGTTGCAAATAAAGAAACAAAGCAAGTATGAAATAAACAATAGCATGAAATTGCCCTCATATATGTCTCAAATGTAGTTATCTTAATAATCATATATGTTTGTTTCAGATGCAACCTTCTTTTTATGGTTTTCAGCCTACGTTTCTGACCGTTCATATAAAGTTAAAATAAATCTCACGTGATTGTGTTTATATAGATAGTTGAATATGCATGTTGAATTATTGAGGATTTTGGGCAATAAATACCAACTAATCGTCTCATTTCACTAATAGTCATCTACTCCTTTTTTTTTTTTAATAAGTTTTACACTTTAATCGTCCACATATTTTAGGCAATTTAATCAACTTAAATGAAATAAGAAGTAAGTGGGGTATTTGGAGTATTAAAAAGTATTTAATGTTTTTGACAAATTAATTTGGGGTTTTTGAATTGAAATTAGGGTTTTTGTAATCATTTTGGGGAGTTGACTATGGTGATAGCATGTGTGATTCATATTTCTTGATTTTTAACTAATGACGAACAAAATTAAGATTGAATTGCAATTTTATATTTGGTTTTTTTTTTGATATTTTGCAAGGTACCAATATCTAGGTCGTGCAAGATCTATATGTATTAAGGAGAATCTAAGATGCAGATTTCAGGCATGCAAATTCTATGATCCATACAACAGAAGTGACATACAAATTCAGAATCTAATTTTTCAAGAAGAAAGAGGGGAAAGAAAGAACTATTGAGGAATCTAATAAGATTTAATTTTGGGGAAGACTTTTAATGGGTGAATATCACTTGTGAGAATTAGAGAAGAATAGAATTGAATTGAAAGAACACAGAAGGGAAAATCGAGTGAAGGAAGGAAAAGAGGGAAAATGAAGGGAAGATTGTTTATGAGGCCCACCATGACGTTACACATGAGTGACTGGATAATCTAGTGGGAACTTTTTTATATTATAAAATGGGGTGGTAAAGAAAAAAGTGGTTATTATTAAAGCGAGAAAATTAGTTGGTGATAATTTCTAAGAAATTCTTAGGCCTCGTTTGGTTGCATTTGGGAAATAGAAACCCATGGGAAATTAAAATTCATGGGAAGTTAATATTCCCC